GATGTACTTTAACCCTTCTTGAGATATCCACTGTCTCGATTCTTCATTTTCTATTTCCTCCAATAATGACGATTCTACATTTGTTGGCTCATAATTCGCGCTATGAAAAACTAAAAATATACGTGATATATTAAAATATAAATTATATAATAATATCAGACGTAAATATTTAAATAAAAATTAAATATTTAAATTAAATATAAATAAATATGAATAAAATAAATTAATTGAATAAAAATTAGGGTGATCATTTTGACCTCCCATTCCACGAATGTAAGAAAAACAGTTTTCTAAAATGTCTTGATTAAGTCTGTTCGTTAGTAAATATTCCACTTTCAAATTTTCTGAACTATACTGCTGCCTTAAATAAGCAAATAAGCTTGGTAGAGAGAGGTTAGATAAAAGAATTCCTTTTTGAAAGGGTAATAAACCCTTTCTTCCTACAACTCTCATAGAGTTAATAAATTCAGACATTTCTTCTAATACTTGACACTGTTTATTAATTTCGACTCCAAAGGCATGAGCTTCAGGATAATCTTTAAACTTTTCAATTGAGTTAAATAAATCAAACCATTTATTGATAAGATCAAGCATATCCGTCAAAGCTTTCCAATTTTCGAATCCGCGAAATTCTTTTTGACCACAGCACTTTACAGCTTGAGCAATACCATGAGAAAATAGTTGAGTAGCAAGTTTTACTTTTTGTCTTTCAGTGTTTTTACATTGTAAATGCGCTATACTAAGATTAAATGCAATTTTTAAATCAACTGTTTCTATTAATCTTAACAATTCTTCGATGGGTTCTTTTTTCAAATATGTTCCTCGATAAATAAATCCGTGATCAAGAAAATTATTTCTGATTAGCTTTATTAAATGTGGAATATCACAGAAGAAGTATATTCTGTAATTTTCATTACACGGATGCATAAAATATCTTGTTTGTCCTTCTTTTACTCCAATGTTTAATTCTGTATTTAATAGTTTTTGATTCGACGGGCCCATATCAGAAGTCATTGCCACAACGGTATATCCAGCTGCATATAAAGCACTAATTACTTCGAGAAGTATTTGAAACAAAAAAAAATTTGAAACATATATTTCATCAAAGCATAAAACTATTACTCTATCAATTTCTGTTATTTTTTCTCCTTCATTTTTCATAATTGATATGACATCAGTCAATAAACCTTCCTGTAAATTTAACTTTTCACTCCAGGTTCGTAAGCACGTTAAAGATGGTAAAGGAATTTTCATATTATTTCTTAAAAATCTGTAAGCCTTGGCGCTGACACTTCGCAAAGATAATGCTGATGCTATGTCTTCAGAGTTCCATTTTACTTTACTTTGATGTGGGTTAGTTAATAATTTAATTTGTCCAGGAGTAAAAATAGTTCCAACTTGTTCTTTAATTTTTAGAACTTTTGCTTCGGATTTAACAAGTTCGTTTTCTTTCTTTTGTAATTTACGTTGTAAAATGGCATTGTCTTTTTGTAATTTTGAAACGTTTCTTTTTTCTTCTAAATATTTTTTCTCATAAAACTTCAATAAACTTTTAGGGCTTGACGGAAATGGTTTCTGTGGTATTATTTCGACTGTATTTTCCCCATTTTGGTTTTCCGTATTTTCTAAAATCACATTTGTTAAAGATGAATTAATAGATAAAGTTTTTGCTGAAGTTCCCGGAAAATCAAACTTTGATGTGGTACTTGGTACTAATAGTCCGGGGAAGGATTCATCACAATTTGTAAATAATAAATTTTTACGTCATGGTAGCGATATAATAAGCGATGCAAATGACTACGGAATTTTAGATTTGGACAGTTCAAGTTTTTCTAATGAAACGGAAATGGAATTCCATGTGCATTTCCTGACAACAATCGAGAACAGGAATCTATAGAAACAATCCAAAGTCATCAATCTTTTGGCACAATTTTCAGGAATTCTTTATGTATTGACGAAGATAACGCGAGTGATTTGGGGTAATAAAAAGTCAGAGTAATTATCGAACGAATTATTCTGACACACGGAAAACAGTTTGAAGGTTCAAACACGGTGTCAACAGACTAATAGATGATGATGTCATATGAAATTTGCAGGCAAAGGTGGGAAGCTTAATAGTGGCTGATACACACTGCTTTTTTTAGTGGCGCCACTGTTATCCTGTATGTTCATCATCAAAATTTAGAGTGTCATCTAATGCATTTACATACGCCACGACAAGCATATCGTTTTTCGATGTGATCACCGATTTTAACCGTGATCGTCATGAACAGTCATGAATGCACTTTTCTTTTATAAAATACGCGTTTATGTATATCATTATAGTTGGGAACGATAAATATCGTTTCAATAATATTTAATGTAACCAAGTGTTTTTCTTCGATTTTATGGACATTTTTTTTAAATAAAAATATTTAGATATATGTCGCAAAGTTTGAAAATAACTGCATGTTAAAGCGGTTCTATTTTTAAGGTTATGTGTTACTGGTGACCATGGACGAGTGCGTTTCACAAATTTTGGAAGATTGGAATCTTTCAATTCTGCAAAAAGTGTTTAGATGTAAGTATAAGTTAGTTTGAAAATAATTTTTGGTAAATAAACTTAAATGGGTGTATCTTAAAACATATCGTGTACCGTGTGTATCGTAATATTCATCTTATCAATTTGTGTTTTGTAGTTTATCAGTATAGTAAACTTGTACTTTAATAATTTATATTTAAAAAAATAATAATTTTTCAATTTTAAATTATATATATATATATATATATATATATATATATATATATATATATATATATATATATGCATTATAGATATGCATTCTCCAGACCACGTGTCTTTCTTTTCAATCTTCTTAAGTACGAAAAACTATTAAATAAATTAATCAATCATAGGTAAATGTTTATTAATTCGACGTTTTGCAACAATTTTTGTTGTCTGCTCATCAGGACATCATCAAGTCTATATAAAAACAAAAGTTACAAAAAAGTTTTGTTTTAAAACAGTTTTGAGGTTGAGATATTGACAAATTCAAGCAAATGTAACAAAAATTTATTTAATAACTAATATTTTCTTAAAACAAGAAGATAATTCCAAATTCAACTTAATAATCTTTGTTGTTTAAATATTTGTAATATTTTTTTCCTTTAACGGTAAAGTATTTTTTAATTTAGTTTTTATCATATTTATTATTTTTATTTATTATTATTATTATTTATATTTATATTTATTTTTTTTTATTTATTGACTCCTTGTATACTATTACATATAGCTTTTACAGTGTTATCCCAATACTTATATACTATTCTTAATCTTATTTATATTTATATTTATCGCTTCACGTAATGCGTGGTAAAATTACATCGTAGTAGGTTTGGTTTTACCAGTTCGTCTGATTTTCTTCTTCTTTAGACGGTGTATTTATTTCAATCTCTTGCATATTTGTTCGCGTTGAATGGAATTTTAATAAATTTAACGTCACAGTATTTTTTACAGTGTAGGATTACGTATTTACATCAATTTTTTTATTCTTTTGTATTTAAGACAAATGAAGAGGAAGTCACATGGTCTGAACAATGCGTATCTATTTAATTTATATTTAAATATTTTTTTGGTACACTAATAATTGAAGTTCACAATTTTTCTAGTTCACAGCATTGATAAGTCCAAATTTTCTGCATTAACGGAGAATGACATTGATAAAATTATTCCAGAAGAATTTGGAATAAATGTAATAAATGATTTTAAAACAAAATATAAATTAAATTTATTACAAAATTTCCGTGATTATGGAACTGAAAATGAGTCAGTTGAAAAGACGTTAGATATTTCATCTTCAACATCATTTTCTGAGTCAAATGAGATGGTACACTCTATTGTAAAACCTCGTAATGCATTAGAAGTTCTCAATAATTCTACTTCGGTGGTTAATATTGAAAATAAAAATAATGATTTTCAAGGAAAACATTTTTTAAGCTTCCTTTTAGGAGAAAATGAGAGTTTTGAAACAGAAAATATTGAAAATGAAGTTCCCTATTGCATAAGTGATATAGAACATTTTATGAATCTGGAAGAATCATATTCACAAAGTAATTTTTCTTCTTTTTATTTCAATAAGATCAATACCACAAATGAATGCATGACGTTTTAAAATCTATTCTTTGAAATTCATGGTTAAATAAAATTCTTAATATTTTCAGTTGAGAAGAATATGACACTTTTTAAATTATTGAGCCAAAGTTTAGTAGGTAAATTCATACTATACGAATATTCTCAAAGTAAAAGTTTCTCAAGAAAAGACTTAAGTAAAATAGTAATGGAAGAAGAAATGAATAATACTTTAAAGACTAATAAGCCTTTTTCGTAAGCAACTTTTCTTTTCTATCATAATTATTTACCGCATTCACACCGTTTGGTATATTTATATCTTTTGCGATGACTGAAAGACGTTTTTAAACGTCCGAAGCATAAAAATAAAAAATTTCCCCACATTCCCTAAAAGCTAATAAAATTCTAAAAGCAATAAGACCTAAAAGAAAATATATTGTCAATATTTTAATAAAATAATTTTTAAAAAATGTGATTTTGAAAGTTTAACTGACATTCATACTACTTCTGAAATAATAATAAAAAATTAGTGTTATTCTCATTTTAAATATAAGTTTTGATAAAATTGTAATTATTTATCAACGGCAACGTGTGATTTTTTTCTTAAATAATGCAAGCCGTCAAAGGTGTACCAAAACAAATAGAAAAATTTAAAAAAAAAATTGTTAACAGGAAACTAATTTTTAAAGTTTAAAGAAACATTTTTTATAAAATTTTCTTTTAAATTGGAAATTATTGCAGTTCTCAAATATTTATATATATATTTAATGTAAAAACCAAAGAAAAACAAAAATTCTTGTTCGTTTGCAATTTTTGAATTCTAATTAGAATTCAAATTTTCTGTTTGTAGAATAACTTGTGATACATTCAAGGAACTTGCTAAAAACATTAAAGCACTTTTCCCTACGGAAGAAAAAGATTTATATTATGATCCTTCTTATACCATTAATGAAAATAATAAAAGAATAAGAGTAAATTCATCGGGTTTCTTGTACAACACATACCTAACGATTAGAGAAAAAGCTGCAAACATTAAGTTGGTAGATTGTTCAATTAAATCTAAGAGAAAGAAGGGAAAGAAAGTGAAGTCGAAGGTGTAGTATACTTAAAACTTGTAAACAAATTTTGTTCCTCTATCTGTAGGTCAATACATAGAAATGGATATTAATTAAATATGACACATTTGGACAAATACCGTATTTTTTACACTCGTTTTTTAATTTGTCTTACAGAATTAGAACAGTTCCCACTAGACTTGAACATTTTATGTGAAGAAACCCCGGAAAACGAAAGTGCGGCTCTTACGACTTGGAAGTATTCTTTTTATCATCGCAAGGAAGCTGTTTATAAGCACAAGACTGCTGTAGATATTTTAAATTATTTTAAAATTCTTAAAGGAAGCTTATGCAAAACATTGGTAAGTATAGGATTACTTTTTAATCATTTTAAGGAAAAGCAAAATCTTAAAAAATTATAAACATAAAATTCAAGATTTTACTCTTTATTATTTGTAATATTTTGCTAACAATTTTAGCTAACTGTATTCTGCAAAACATAATTTTTTAGATTTCATCTGATTTCGAAGATCTATTTAAAAAACACATACCAGAAAAAGATAAAAAATACAAACATATTTGTGTACACGATAGACTTCTTTTAAATTGGCCAACAATTGCTAAACAAATGATTCAAGTCGCAAAACAAAGTTGCTCCAATAAAACTAGGAAAAAGAAGAACAATGGTCATTCTGGACAGAAGAATTCTTTGGAAAATGAGCCAGTGAAACACGTAAATACAAATTACATGGATATAGACGACATTTTAAAAAATAACAAAGATCCAAAAGAAGCTGGTAAGTACAATAATGAATAATATCATTGTAACTTATTATAGTTTGTGCAAATAGTGAATAAATTTAAACTTTAATTAATTACCCTACCGAAAGAGTGGTACTGGAATGGTACTGAATTGGACTTGGCTTGAGTTCCACTTCAGTACCACTACCTGATAACCCATAAGAAGACATTTTTAAAGTACTTTAACAATAGTTTTTCCCTCCTTGAACAATAGACCCCTAGGTCCTTTGTTGAAGGATTAAAATTTTAACCCGAGTTTTATTGATTAAAAAATTTGTAATTTTAATAACTCAACTTTAAAAAATATATATTCAGATTCGTTATTATTTCCAGATTATGAATATCTAAAATTTATCATAAAATAATTACATTTAAAAAAGTTATAATTTATCTCGTATACCTTAAGTTTGATAAAAAAAATGGACATTATTTTTGAATTTAGCTGCCAAAGGAAATATCATATGCATAATAATGTATGAAAATAATATAAATCCATGAAAAACAAATATAATATTGAAATAAATATAAAGTTTTAGTTTAAACATATTGAAAAAGCTAGTCGCTTTTCACTTTTATGAGGGTATTAACGGTAACTCGACCCTTTTCGCAGGTAAATTTCCCAGTTCCATTTCAGTACCAAAATGCACCAAATTAGTACTGAGTTGGTACTGAGATCTCAGTTCCAATTTCCCAGTACCAATCAAGTACCACCCTTCCGGTAGGGTATATACTTATTTTGGCGATTTAATGATTGTTGAAATTTTAATCTTAAAAATCCTAAACATAGGTAGTAGGTAATATTCCCTAAATGGAAACTATATGTGATATTTATTTGAATTAAATTATTTACAGTATGTATTATATTGGTAATTGTTTACAGAACATGAGAATGCTCTGGCAGCCTTACTTTTACCAAGTTTGATCAAGCACGTCTTCAAAGCTCCAAACTCCAAAAATCCGAATTCTCAAAATTCCACTTGGAAGCCGGAGGAACATGACGTCGTAAAATCTTTCATTGTCCATATTGAGGTAATCATCAAAATTTTCAACTTACACTTGTATTGGGATCTGACATTCGTACACATGCCATCTGGTGTTGAAAAATGTAACTAGTTTTGAATAACTGTTTGTGTCACTTGCAATTGTAGTTCCGCTGTCATTGTTAATTATTTTATCATTATGAATGAAGCTACATTTTTTACCGCGTGAGAAATCTTCCTGCAGAATTAAGTGTTCTGTGAGAGGCTGTGGCAGTACTGTAGCGAAAAATTTAAGCGTAATTTTCCATAAATTTCCGAAACCAAAACAACGAGTAGTGGATGTGAAAAATACGTTCGATAATTTTGAAAAAGTCGATCAATTAAAGGCCTGGAAAAATGCTTTAAATATAAACAGTATAAAGCCTTCTATGAGAGTATGTTCTCTGCATTTCAAAAGAAGTGATTACATTTTGCCAGGTAAGTTTAAGATTTTAAAATTTGGAGGTTATATAATCTTTCATATTACCCGTGCATGTGAACATTTTGAAAGTTAATTTATCACTGTAAAAACGGATAAATAAATTTTTTTTTCACTTCTTGTTAACAGACTTTTACAATGAAAAATGAAATATATACATTTATAAATTTTCATATAATTACATGAAATATAAAGGAAAATACAATACTTTTCTTGCACATGTATCGCTGGATTTGAGAAAATCATTTGTATAAAAATAAGATTTCTTTTATATTTTTATTCATGTTTGTAAATAGGAATTTAAATAGTAATTTTGTATTAAAAAAATTCACTTATACATTTATTAAATTAAGCAATATTTTTTAAACGATTTTGTTCTATTGCATCCCATGTTATTCCCATGTAAATTCACTAAAAGTGTTACCCAATTTACGCCATATTGCTTTAGGCCCCGCCCCCATGTCAGATCCCAATAATGTACTTCATATTTTACTTTTAATATTTCATAAAATATTATGTGTCTACTTTATCAATTTATTCACAGGTTCCAGAGAACGAAGAAGATCTTCAGAAATTTGTAGACCAAAAGTGCCTTTTTTACGAAACTAAAAAAGTACTCAGTGTGCAACCGTATATCATAATTTGTGGCAAACTGAGCTCTATTAGCAAATCTTACGTTGTAATAGGAAAAGTTCTTCATAAGTGCAAAACAATAGTTGAAGCGTTATACTTTTGTTTTAAATCTTTTTATGCGCTTCATATTGATTATTATGTAGCATGTCCACATATATGGTCGTTTTTCCATAAATATGTGTATGAAATCAAAGGACAGAAACATTTAGTTGCTTCTAAACAAATATCCCATTTATGTACTGAAATAGGTAAAATTGTGGTATAGAAACGTTGAATACCATTGCGTTTGTCGTTTTGCGTCGATTTTATGATTATTATAATTTATTCAAAGATTATAAAAAGCCGTTAGTTACTTTAAAGTTTAACTTTAAAATAGGGACTTTTACATACTGAAACTATGTTTAAAGGAAATAACTTTAACTGTGCTAAAATCTTTATTCTGAAAATTATGTTTTACTCTTATGACCAAATTTTCTAAATATAACAATACGTTGATTTCTTTTCTTGGAAATAGTCAAAACTTAGCATTTAGTGAGAAAATTTTATAAGCTAAAAAGAGAAATATTCATGAATAAAATCTTTTTTCCCATATTCAGACTAATTTTTTAATATTCTCAAATGGATTTAGAAACAAAAATTTTAGAACTCACTTGTGATTTATATAACAATCTCAATCTTTCAAGATCTGACGTACAATTTGTAATTGAAAAGTTTCGAAATTTTATATCAAATGATTATAATCCATTTCTTTTAAAAGAATTGAATTCGAGTTTGTATAATGCTGCTAGTCAACAAGTTTCAGAAACAATAAATAATACTTTTGAGAAATACAAGGACCCTTTTCAAAAATACAGTTCAGAAAGTAAACGATTAAATCTATATACAAAAATGGGATTATACGTGGAGCCTAAAATATGTGTTTTAAGTAAAGAGCGAGTTCCAAAATTTGTAGAAGATAAAGTTCTTCTAGTGACTAAAACAACCACAATGGTTCATTTATCGATGAAAAATTCATTAAAAAAACTTCTCCAGATGGACGGATTGTTAAAATCCACGTTATCTTACATGGATTTTCTTAATTCTGAATCAAAGATAAAAATGAATTTTATACAAGGTTCTTTGTGGAAGAAACAGCTCAAAAATTGCGATAAACAAGGAACAGTACTACCTTTATTTATTTACTTTGACGATCTTGAACCTGGCAACGCTTTAGGTTCTCACGCTGGAAAAAATCAAATTGGATGCGTTTATTACACTATTCCGTGCTTACCACCAAATTTTGCCTCTAAACTTGACAGTATTCTTGTGAGTGATATTTTCTACTCTAAGGATCGAAAAAAATTTGGAAATGCATTAATTTTTCAAAATCTTATCTCCGAATTACAAGACTTAAACACTAAAGTACTCGAAATAATTGTGGATAATGAAAAATATATAATTTATTTTCTGACAAGTTTGATATTAGGTGACAATCTTGGTCTAAATGGAGTTCTAGGTTTTGTGGAGTCTTTCGCGTTAACTCATTTCTGCCGAGTTTGTTACGCTGGTCCGAAAGAGACGAAATTTATGACAAAAGATAATGAAACTTTAATTAGAACAACAGAAAAATATGAAGTGGATGCACAAACTTTAAAGTATTCTGAGACCGGTATAAAGGAAGTTTGTGTGTTTAATGCACTAAACAATTTTCACGTGATTACCAATGCAAGTGTAGACATTATGCACGACGTTTTCGAGGGTGTTGCAAACTATGTCATGGCAGAGATATTGTTAAAATTGATTTTAGATGATGAATGTTTTACGATAGATTTTTTGAATAATGCTTTAAACTCATTGGATTTTGCTTTTGAATCGTCTAATGTACCTCTCAACATTTCTTTGGATTATGTCAAATCAAATCGCAAGTTTAAAATGTCCGCGTCGGAAGTACTATTTTTTTCAAGATATTTTGGACTACTAGTTGGAGACATGGTACCAGAGGATAATGATTCCTGGACTCTTTACATCAAATTGAGAGAAATCATCCATATCATAACTTTACCTACTATTACTCATTCACATCTTGCTCAGTTGGAAATCTTGATTGAAGAGCATCATACAATGTATTTGAAGTTATTTGGCAATTTGAAAGCAAAATTTCACTTCATGCTCCATTATGTACGCTGGATGTTACAAAATGGACCTCTAATCAAAACATCATCAATGCGTTTTGAGTCAAAACATACAATAATAAAAGCTATCTTGAATCCTGTTGCATCAAATAGAAATATATTGCTAACAGTCGGTACTAGATTACAATTGAGTCTAATACATTACAGGTATTCGCAATATAGAGATGTGTATGTGACGTACGGGTCAGAGGTACCAGATGATTCAGTGAGCATCTACTTTCCAATGTCAAATTCTCGAAAAACTGTTACTAACGTAAAAATTAATGATGTAACGTACGAATTTGGAACTATTATTATAGCAAATATTTGGAAAATGGTCCCCTTTTTGGAAAAATTAAAAAAATCTTTATTGTAGACAATTCGATTTTTTTCAAATTTGTTCCGTTACGAATAATTGGTTTCAATATGCACTATTTTGCGTTCAGTGTTTTGGCCGATGACCAAAATCAAAGAATAATTAATTATGACTCAATAGCACAGAGAACTCCGTGTTTATTACAGATAAAAAAAGACGTTCCTTATATCTTTGTAAGACACATTATATAAAATGTACAAAGTATGTTGTGTAAATAAACTTCTGAAATTATACCAGTCAAATTTTTCATATTATTTTAAACATTCTTCATATTTTTCTTTATCGCTAATCGAACCAGTAAACAATATAGAAAACAGTGAATAAATGACAAAAATCCTCATCTGGTATCAATCTTGACGTTTCTTGCTATTTAAAAAAAAACAAAATAAATTGTTGAACGTAGATTTTTTAGAAAAAAAATATTTTTATTATAAACATCAAACTAATAAATAATTTTGTAAATAGTATTTGAATTGAAATAATATTGTTGTACAAAAAATCATTAATTAATAAACATACTCGATATCATTTTTATACTTTATTAATACTGCTCATCCGCAAACTATTCATTGAAATGAAAATTAAGGAAAAACTATGCATCTGCGTAAAATCGTGAAACTTTGAACATTTTAAAAAGTTAGAAGTATTAAATATAAAGGATTTTTGTTGCGAAGTGATAAGTCTATTTTTAATAATAATTAAATATTGAGATAGGTCAAAAGAAATTACTAAATTTAAAAAAATATAAGAAATATAATTTTTCGTTTATGTCAGTTGAAACAAATGAATATTTGAGACAAATTATTAAGTTCTGAATGTTCAAATAAATACAATTTTTATTTTATATTTTATAATTGCATTCAAATTTGACCTTTAAACATTTACACTTTCGGACGAGCATTATTAACCTGAAATATTGTTTTACATATGAAAAAATAAATTTCAATGTTTCAAATATTTCCTACCTTTTTTATATTGTTGTACAACAATTATATATCTAAATGTAAACATTATTACTGAGAATTTAAATATTCAAAAGTTATTTAAAAGTCCAGAAAAATAAGGATCAAATAATAATTTTATGAAATGAAAATTATAAGTTTTTTAAATTATAAAGAGTAAAAATTATGATAATTAAGAATTTTATAATTTTGAAATTACATTATTTAAGACTTTGATACTTCAGGATTTTTGAATAGTAAAAGCATTACTGGAAATCATATAAATTGTTTAAGAGATAAAATAAAAATTATAAGAACTGGTGTACATGAAAATAACTAAATTATGTCAGTTAAATTCATTTTTAGGTTATACGTCAAAATAAAGTTCTATGTCAAATAATTTACATGAAAATAACTAAATTATATCAGTTAAATTAATTTTTATATATCAAAATCAGATTCAATGTCGAATCATTTGCACATGAAAATAAGTAAATTACAACAGTTAAATGCACTTTTAGGTTATGTGTTAAAATAACTAAAATCCTATTAAACTTCTAATAATAAATAATCCAATTAATTCAATTTGAATAATATGTTTTCAGATACTTTTTTTTACTAATAATCAGGAACATTTTACCATATATAGCAGTTATATATTTTTCACTAAAGCAACAAGTCAACCGAGATTTTACGAACATTTATTATTTTTAAGTAATTCAGACTTACAGAGCAAGTATTGTAATATATAACCTACTAAAAAATGTTTCTTAATATTATTTATAAACCATAAAAAACGAGGATTATCGATTATCGACGATGAGTGATTGTAAATTTAAAGTATTTGTTATACATATATATATGTTTGAAAAGACAATTCTCATTGATTCTCATTACTGTGTTCCGATCGTTCCGATCACCGGTTTTTGACGTGACAGTCATCGAAAACGATGGTGACAAATATAACACATTAAACTTAAGTGCTATCCACCCAAAAACGTTATGGAGGCATAAAGTATTAACATGAAAACACAATAATTTTTAGTGCAACATGAATCACCGTACTTTAAGGTGAATACATTCTCCTATTCAAAGATGGCACTTTATTTCACAATGAAATTTCACTGTAATTCAAGATGCTATAGTGTGCACTGTGATTGAACCTTCAAACTGTTTTCCGTGCACACTTATTCCAAATGTTCGACCAGAAGAGGAAACGCAACAGGTTCAATCCTCATTTTTAAATATGTTGAACCGAGCTTCGATTGGCAAATCTAATAAAAAAAAAGGTGGTTATAAATATAGTACGTCAATGAAGAAGTTTTCTTCTTATTTATTTATGACAGGGGGCAGAATTACTTACGAAACTCTGGCAAAAAAATTTACCACTTCCGTCATTGAGTACAATTAGCCGAACTATTAACAAGTCAAGGTAAATGTATACAAACCTTTTCTGTATTCTTGAATCTATTGTATTAAATAAATATAATATTATTTTCTAATATATTTTATTATAAAAAAGTAATAAACTTATTATATATGACGCTCCACGAGAAAAGGAACCTTATTTAATCTTGTCATAAAGTTCCTTTTCTCCTGAATTTTATTTAATTAAATTAAAAACAATTTAATAAGCAGGTCAGTAATTACCGAGGGAACATGTCGATTCGAAGAACTGAAAGCATTTTTATCATCTAGAAACTTTCCTTTAGTAGTATGGCTAAGTGGAGATGCCACTCGTATCATTAATAGAGTACAATATGATCCTACATCAAACCAACATGTTGGATTCGTTTTGCCTTTTGATAATTATGGAATGCCAAAAAGAAATTCATTTCTTGCTACATCTTGAAAGTCTATCGAAGATCATTTTCTCAAAAACAAGAAAGCTTCACAATTGTATGCTATTATGGCTCAGCCTTTAGTTAAAAATAGCCCTTCCTTTTGTCTTTGTTTATATGGGACTGACAATTCATTTACAAG